AAAATGCCCAGAGCCGTCGTTGAACGATTATAGCAAGCGGGTACAAGATCCCGGCTGCAAAACACTCTACCAGTAGGGTTTGATTTGGTATTTACACCCTAACGAACTAAGTAAACACGAAAGAGCGTGGATTCTTCCGAATATTGCAAAAACGAATGCCGCTAAACCGCCAAGAGGTGCAAGTCGGTGCCAAAGCGTTCGGCCTTATCAGCTCCTGATGCCACCATGAGAGTAGGCAGCATCTAATCGACGATGGTTCCGAGGGTGCGCATGAACCAGAACAGCTGCCCCTTCATCGACTCGTGCCACGCGGGGCGCTCCTCCTCCATCTGCGCCTCCGCCGCCGGCGGCTTCACCTCCTCCGCCTTGGCGGCCATCGCGCTCTGCGGAGGCGTCTCGGGCGCAGCGCCGTAGCCCTGCGGAAATGTCGCCTTCTCGAGCTGATGGAAAAGAGAGAAAAAAAGAGAGACAAAAGAAAAGCGAGGGAACCGCTGATATTAGCGCCAGCAACCAGCATCATTCATCATCAAGACGGACACAGAAATGAAGCAGGTAGGAGGAACAAGAACATAAAATATCCCATTATTGTGGCAAGTAGCTGTTAGGTCTTTCGAACAGGATGGCGAGGGAGCGTACCGCGGGGCCTCGGTGGTGCACTCCCGGCCGCCGGTGGCGCTTTGCCGCAGTGATGGCGAGTCTTCGGGGAGGTTGCTCCTGAAAGAGCAAGAAACTCGAGGTGAGATGCCGTGCCGAGGAAAAAAAAAACCGTCTCAATGAGCATGCAACCCACTCTGCCTGAGGCAAGCGATACGTAGAATGCTTACCTGAAGTCTAAGCGAGGGTGTGGCAATGGCAAGATTGGTGTGGGTCAGGACGAGAGCTTGAACCGCAGCCATGATTGAAGAACGCCGGCAATGTTAAACCGAGAAGGACTCCTAAATAAGCAACGTAAGAGTCGCGGCTGATGTAAGCTATAGAACAGGATGACAGCAAGATTTGCACAAGCAGCGTTTGAATAGACTGGACTTACTAGTCGAGCTCCTGACAACTAAAATATGATGCTGGATGGGAGGCTCACCTCCATAACATGTCACCAAGAAAAGTTGGCTCGGCATTCCCTGAGCTCGGATGTTAGGGCGCTTTGGTTGGATAAGCTGGGCTAGGTGCGGTTCGGTCCCCGCTGGAAGTACTCCTTGCCAGCGCGACATGACATGCTGCTCATTCGTGCAAAGCGCGGGCCGGTGACGTACGCTGGAACAACGCAGCAAAGCTCAAGCCTGTCAGGGACTTGTTTATTATTCGTGGTTCCGCCACGAGGCTGACGTTGCAGAATGTTCACGTGTATGTTGGTCTATCCCACGTCAACAAGCCGTCAGATGGATTTCGAGTGCCACAGGCTCACCAGCGTTGCAACGTTCGAGTCTTCGCTGGCGGGATCTTCGAGCGGGTTCAAGCAATTGGACAGCGCATCACGCAACTCCGCCAGCACAGCAAAGTCGAGGAGTTTGATCGCACGAGTCTGGTTTGGTCTGGTCGCCAACCAAACCTTGAGCAACAGTGTTACATAATGATGAGTTCGTGATGCATCGCGAATCAAAGTTACCCGTTTGCATGATCTTTTTTCGCTCCTTCCATCAGATCCAGTGTTCTTGCATTGCTACATTTCCAGTGGTGCTCGAAAGTACCAATTCGAGTTTCACACTCGCGTTCACCCTTCACATGCCATGCGCTGGCTATTTCTAACGCGTCTCTCACATGCGGCTCGCGGCCAGATCAACAAACCACGTGCGATAGTTTGCGGATTCGCCATTTGTCGTGGCGTGAGACTGACTTAGCGCATGCTGAGCGACTCGTACGAATTATTCCCTGTTAATTCGGGACTACTTTGTGGACTTCCTGTAGAAATCGCTTTTCTCCCGAGTAGACCCAACAGTGTTTCTCTCAGTCGCTTTTTCCCAACTAACGTCCTTGATTCTACGATCTGCAATCAATCGTCGCTCCTGACTCTGACATCGTTGAAAACTGATTTCTCGTGAAAGCTCGTTGCGCCGTCCGCCATGGCGACCGAGGTAGCGGTGGAGGACTTGCGATCGGCGCGGCCGCGCGATCCGCGTGCTGTCGGGAAGGTGGAGCAGTACATGACGCGCGACCCGATCTGCTTCCGTCGCGATACGCCTCTTGAGGACGCCCTGCGCGTGAGTGCCTCGTCTTGCGCGAGTCGCTGTGTTGCCTCGTGCGCTGGTTGTGTTGTCCCGTGCGCGCGAGTGTGTCTCCTTGTGGGGTTTCTCGATTCCAGCGCAATTTCGCACATGCCTCGCACGTCTCCCCCCCATACCGCCAGGCGCTAATAGAGCACAAGATTAGCGGCGCGCCGGTGGTGGAGCCCGTGTTCTCTTCCCTCTCTTTGTGTTGAATCCCTTTCCCCTCTTGTCTGTCCCCTCCTCCCCCCTCCCCCCACACCCGCCAGGCGCTAATAGAGCACAAGATCAGCGGCGCGCCGGTGGTGGAGCCGTACGAGGGCGACTCGACGGGCAGCGGCAGGCTGGTGGGCGTGATCAGCGAGGAGGACCTGTTGTGGAAGGAGGTGGACGCGACTGATAAGGTGAGACGCAGCGGCGCAGGGGTGCTGAGGTGTATCGCGGATTGCTGTTTGGCTTGAGCGAGCGATATTGTCTCAGTTTCTCAGTTGCTACGAGGAGTGACACGGCAGTAGTTGTGATAGCGAGGAGGACCTGCTGTGGAAGGAGGTGGACGCGACCGATAAGGTGCGACGCGGGGGTGGTTATGTGGATTGCGGCCGATAAGGTGCGGCACAGTGCACGGGTGATGAGGTGCGGCACAGCGCACGGGTGATGAGGTGCGGCACAGCGCACGGGTGATGAGGTGCGGCACAGCGCACGGGTGATGAGGTGCGGGGTTGCAGGTTCCACTCCGTTCCCCGTCCATGATGACGTCAGACACGAGCATGCAGAGAGAACTACCATCCGCCCTCCCCACCTTCCTCCCGTCCCCCCGTTTCTCCCCTTCCGACCCCCTCCCCCCCTTGCCCCCTTGCCCTTTTGCCCACTTGCCCTTTTTGCTCACTTGCCCTTTTGCTCACTTGCCCTTTTGCTCACTTCCCCCTTCCACTTTCAGGAGCTTGAAACCGCATTCCGCGCGCCCTACCTCTGGTCCATGATGACGTCAGACACGAGCATGCTAGAGACCTACGAGGACCAGGCTCTTAAAGTGCTCTCCCAGACCGTGGGTCTCAGCATGAGCGAGCAGTCCATCTCAGTCACCCCCGACACGCCCGTTAAAGACGCCGCTACTATCATGCTGGATGCGAAGATTAAAAGGCTGCCTGTGGTTGCGCCCCGGGAGGGGGGCCGGCCGGGTGTGACTGTAGTGGGTGTGATTTCGAGGAATGATGTCCTGAGGCATGTGCTGAGTGTGCTTACAGAGAGGGGAGGGACGGTGGGGGGAGAGGCGCGTGGAGAGGGGGCGAGGGAGGGGGGACGGGGGAGGGTGGAGGCAGGGGCAGGGGGAGCAGGGGGGAAGGGCGGAGGAGGTGGTAAGGCAGGGGAGAGTGAGGGGGTAGGGGGGGCGGGGGGAGTTTCTGGGCTTGGAGGGATAACTCCACAGGCAGAGGTTGGGGGGACAGGTGGGGGTGGGGAAGCAAGGGGGGAGGGGAAGGAGGGGGGCAAAGGAGGAGGGGAGCGAGGTGCTGCTGCGGAGAGGGGTGGTGAGGGGGGTGAGAAGGTGCAGACCGGTTTGGTGAAAGGAGGGGCGTGATAAGGCGGAGGGTGGGAGTGGGGAGTGGTAAGCGGTCTAGTTGCACAATGCAAGTGTCTGTGTCTGGGATACATTTGGCTTCTTTTAATGCAGAAATTGGCTTGGTGAAAGGTGGGGCGCGAGGGCGATGATGAGGGTGATGGTGGTATGGGGAGGTGGTAACAAGATGAGGGGTGTCTGGGGCGTGATTGGATTTCTTTAGTGCACCTCACCTGCGGCGGTTTTTGAGTCGACTCAATAACCGACTCATCAATTGGATTTCTTTAGTGCACCTCATCTGCGGCATCATGTTTCATGTGTGCTCATGCAGGAGGTCACTTGGGCAGGGAGGTGAGGTGTAGCAATGTTTCTGTCTGTAACCTGTATATAGCGATGGTAGTTTTGCTTGGTGCGTGAATTACCTAGTACCAGTATTGGCTGGTCGTTTAATGGAAACGAATGAATGATTCTAGAGATTGGCTTTTCTTTCCACCCCATCATCAGTTGTATCTTGTTCACCAGGCAGATATATGCCGTAGCTGAAGTTATCAAGTTGCCTAGCTGAGTCTTGGGTCAAGCAATAATGTGGGGAGACAGCGAAGGATTATCATAAGACATGTACATGAATGCTCAGATTTGAGGGTCCCTAAACTTCTCCATTTCATGCATTTCAGGTTTCATGCTAGACACTAGAGTTTGGGCTGCCTGATGCAATCCAACTGTGTCCTGCCCTATTTCATTCCAACCCTCCCAAACTCTGATGGTTTGTGCTGTGGCTTGTGATCTTAGACTGCCTTTATTAGCGTAATTGAACATTCTGACAAGGTATACAAACATCACAGCTCGCTCCACAGGCTGTGGAAAACACAAACAAGCATAACCCAAGCCTACACAATCACACACTGCTGAAAGCAACATCCACTCCTGCCATTCTACCCAAGCACCATTGTCTCAAGTACACTGCCGTAGGACTTCTGCCGCCATGATATCAGGTCAGACTACATCATTCCGAATGTCTTGTGTAATCACGCTATCTAGGGACCAGAGCGTGGTCTTCTGCCCCCCATCTCGCCCGTACACCCACCAACACTCCTCCCCACTCCCCCCTCCTCCCCAGCGCTCTACCCGAGCGCCTTCTGCAGCTGCTGCACCGTGATTCTCGGCCTAGCCGCCAGCACCTTCCGCATGTCTCTCTCCCCACCTTCTCTCCCCCACCACCTCCCACCCCTCCCAACCGCTCTAACGCTCTACCTGAGCGCCTTGTGCAGCTGCTGCTCCGTGATTTTGGGACCGGCTGCCAGCACCTCATCGGGGATGCGCGTAGTCTTGCCGCCCATCTCGAACTCCACAAACTTGCCAAAGTTCTTCACAAACAGCGCGCCAAGCTTCTCCAGGGTCTGCTGGTACTTGGCCTTGTCGGGCCACTGTGAAATAGGAAAAGCGGGTGGAGGAGGAGGGGGCATGAGAAGAGGGGCGTGAGAAGAGGGGCATGAGAAGAGGGGCATGAGAAGAGGGGCATGAGAAGAGGGGCATGAGAAGAGAGAGAGAGCAGCAGCACAGGAGCAAGGGAACCAGAACGAGGGAGATTGGAGGAACCCAAGGGAAGGAAGTCAGGGGAAATGAACGCGCCACACTCACCAGAGTCTCCGGCTGCAGCACTTCAGTGGGCACGCCGTTGCACTTGGTGGGCACCTGCAGGCCGAACACGGGCGTCGTCACAAACTCCTCCTTCAGCAACGACCCGTCGTGAATCGCGTCGATAATCGCGCGCGTGCTCTTGATGCTCATCCTGCTCCCGACGCCATAGCTCCCGCCCGTCCACCCGGTGTTGACGAGCCACGCCGTGGTCCCGTGCTTCTTCATGCGCTCCGCCAGCAGCGACGCGTACTTGTACGGATGCCACATCAGGAACGCGGCTCCGAAGCACGCGGAGAAGGTCGCTTCGGGCTCCGTCACGCCCATCTCGGTACCCGCGACCTTGGCCGTGTAACCCGAGATGAAATGGTACATAGCCTGCTCGAGAGTTAAGCGGCTGACGGGCGGGAGAACTCCGAACGCGTCGCAGGTGAGCAGAATCACGTTCGTCGCGTGGCCCGCCGTGCAGGGGATCTTCGCATTGGGGATATACTCGATAGGGTACGACGCGCGCGTGTTCTCGGTAATGCTGTTGTCATCATAATCCACCACGCGGGTGTGCGCATCGAAGACGACGTTCTCCAGCACCGCTCCGAACCGGATTGCATTGTAGATATCGGGCTCCTTCTCCCGGCTGAGGTTGATGCACTTGGCGTAGCAGCCGCCCTCGATGTTCGCCACCCCGTCGTCGCTCCACGTGTGCTCGTCGTCGCCGATCAGCAAGCGGTGCGGATCGGTGGAGAGGGTTGTCTTGCCCGTGCCGGACAGGCCGAAGAAGAGGGAAACATCGCCGTCTTTACCCATGTTGGCTCCGGAGTGCAGCGAGAGGACGCCCTGGAAGGAGAAAGGTGAAGGGAAAGGGGAGATGTAAACTAGGTGGGGAGCTGTGGAGCTGTGGCAGGGCGAGGGTGCGGCCGAAGTAGAGCGAGACATCTCCGCTCTTGCCCATGATGGCACCCCAGTGCAGCGACAGCACGCCCTGAAAGGGGAGGGAGGGGGAAAAGCCGCAGGGAGAGCCGCAGGGAGAGAACATTGCAGGAGACAAGAGGGGATAGCTATGGCAACATTTCAAACGCTGAATGGAGTGTCTGCATTTTTTGTTTCACTCTTGAGTCGACTCAAAAGACAAAGTTAATGCGTGCTTCGTTCTCGCTCTGCTCACATTCCCATGCACAGCTGTTAGAGTCACAATAAGGCACACTCGCTACAAGGCAGTCAGAGTCACATCGAAGCACACCTGGTGCCACATCACCCACCTGCTTGGGCATAAGGTAGTTCTTGCGGGAAAACAACCCCTTCTTCATCTCGCCCGCGTACTCAGTCCTCAGAATGACCAACTCCACGCTCGTCCTGCCCTCTGCTCTGTGCCCTGTGCTTACACACATCTCATCACCACAGTCTACCACAGCCCACCACTAGGAACCCACCTGTATGAGCATGAGGGAGAACAGTCCCTACTTCATCTCCATGCGGTTCAAGTCCATGTCCACGCTCGTCGTGCTGCTAGTGCTCTGTGCCCAACCACTGCACACCAAGCCCACCACTAGGAACCCACCTGTTTGGGCATGAGGTAGTTCATGAGGGAGAAGAGTCCTTTCTTCATTTCCCCGGCGTACTCCGTCCCGAGAATGACCATCTCCATGCGGTTCAAGTCCATGTCCACGCTCGTCGTGCTCGTCATGAACTTGCTCAGCCGGTTCACGGGGAAGTGCCCCGCGTTGTAGATGGTGAACACCGGCTCGCCGAAGTTATCCAGCTGCTCCTGGGTGGGCCGGATGCACCTGGGAAGATTGAAGGAGAGAAGGAGAGGAGCACGGGAGAGTGAGGTGAGAGGGAGGAGTGCCAGTTGACGGGGAAGTGGCCCGCGTTGTAAATTGTGAAGATGAAGGGCGCATGGAAAGAGGAGAGGAGTGAGGGGTGAAACCTCCATGACGAACTTGGTCTTCAGATAAAGGGTGCAGGAAAGCTTGAACGTGCAATATCGCACCATGCATCCACTCACATGTTGTGCATGAAGAGCGCGTGGTAGGCACGCGCGCACACGATGCGCACTTTGATCTGCAGCTTCGGATCCCACCCCAGCAGCATGTCCTGCACGTACACCTGCAGCCACGTGGCAGCACGGGATTGGATCCAAGTGAATGAGGGGGAATAATGAGCTGAGGGATAAGAAGAAAACCGTAGTCTAAACCGTTAAAAATAGTCATTCCACTATCAAGGAGGTGGAAGAACGAGCATCAGCAAGTACAAATATGACAGACGGTATGAGGAATTTCTTCTGTTTCGAGTCCCCATTGCTCCGCTACATGGCCTGCTCGACTGATAGTGTGTAACCAGCCGTTGGATGAGGTGTTATGACTGATATCGAAATCGAGCTGGCTTGTATCGGGGACAGCGCACCTTGCCGACGGTGTTGAGGTAATCGATGGCGCGCTCGCGGTTCACCATGAACGTGTACTCGTCCATCTCGTAGTTGGGCGACCCTCTGCGCACACGCAAACGCATGCAATCAAACACACGCACGCAATCAAACACACGCACGCAATCAAACACACGCACGCAATCAAACACACGCACGCAATCAAACACACGCACGCAATCAAACACACGCACGCAATCAAACACACGCACGCACAGCCAGGCGCACGCACGTGCACACACAAAAGGACATAATGTAAGTCACCCAACTTCAAATGGGACCCAAGAGTCAAGGCAGTGATTGAAACAACAGCTTTACACAGACCTCTCACGAACCGGAACGCCCAAAACCCAAACCTTGACCCGCGCCCTGAACCGCGAACAAAGCCCTGAATCCCGCAAGTACTCACTTGCCCCACCACAGGTCCTCGGCGTGGGCGCGCTCCTTGACGACGCGCTTGTCCTTGGGCGACCGCCCCGTCTTCTGGCCCGATAGCGTCGCCAGCGCGCCCGTCGACACGATGAAGTTGCCCTCCTCCTGCGCGATCGCCTGCTCATACAGCTCTGCGCGGGAGAAAGGGAAAGTAGAAGCAGGAGGAACGTCGGGTTAGCACACGGCGACAGGCGCGCAATGCGGCACCGGGAGAGACAGAAGTCATGATGGCTAAAGAGAAGGGACAGCGAGGGCGCGTGGGTTGTGGATGCAAGTCATACCCGCGACGGAGAAGTTGCGCAGGACCTCGCGGGGCTTGAGCTTGGCGACGAAGATATCGTCGGGCTAGCGCACGGCGACAGAGGCGCAATGCGGCCCCGGCAGAGACAGAGGCCATCAGGGACAGCGAGGGCGGATGCAAGTCTTACCAGCGACGGAGAGGTTGCGAAGGACCTCGCGCGGCTTGAGCTTGGCGACGAAGATGTCGTCGGGCGCGAAATCGGGGACGTTCATCACCTTCTGCAGCGCATCGCCCGCTCGCGTTGACTCGCGCGGCTGGTTGGTCGGATCGAACGCCTGCGGGGATAAGAGGAGAGAGGAGAGACGCAGATCCGGACGGCAGGAATTGGTTTGCATGTGGGTCGACTCAGGTGTCAATGGGTAGGTCAAGGTTTACGGAATACGGCGGGAGGCGGGGAGGTACGAGAAGAACAGGTATGTATGTGCGAATGTGGGGCGGGGTGCACGATGAAGGCAACATAGAGTACTCGCGTGCACCCGAATCCTCGACACACACACCGGATGAGCGAAGACATTCGGGAAAACCAATGAAGGGGAAAGCAAGAAGGGAACTAACGAAGACGTATAAAGGAACGCACTGCGACGCATGTCTTGTTCTGCGATCGGCGTTGAGTCGGGCGAGCTGCCTTGGCGTGCGCGAGACGAGCTCCTCCCTGCAAATATATAAAAAAGAACCGCGAAAAGTGTTACTACTGCACAAACATTCCGCGAGGAGGTTGGGTCAAGAAAAGGGGTTACTCATTTTTCATGCTACCGGCAACAAACACACTAGCGGGGAGCGTATAATAGCAACAATCATGTTCGGGAAACGGGTCGAAGAAAAGGAAGGGAACCTGCCTTGAGAATGCGAGACTGTGTTTCAAGTGAAGACGAACCAGACACCGCAACGGACGGCGCGGTGACGGAGATGCCCATGAGCGAAGCCATTTAGGCGAAAGCTATCGCAACACGCGTGAGTCACTGTAGTAGAGTGCGTGATTGCTCGCCGATCGGTAACTGGAGAAATGGAAGGTAACTGCTGCGCAGTGGGCAAGGCCTGTGGTGATCGAATGACGAACACCAAACGGAATTCTAGTGAAAGCTTGGTTTGCTGTTTGCTTTTGTGTTGAGAATTTGCAATGTGCTGCTCGCACGAGGGCATGTTCCATGCAAGTGTCGCGACGCGCTGCTGGAGAAGAAGGAACTGTAGATCATGAATTTAGATCTTATTCAAGGCCTCATACGTTGCGCACTGCCAGCAGGGCAGCGAAAATCGATGAGTTTTGGCGCAATGATCAACCTTTCCAAGCACGGGGGGGTGGTATGGGAAGTGCTTGGCTGGTTGGAGCGGACATGCCGGCGTGCCACGCTGTCCGAAAAAATGGAGGCGGAAGGAGATCTTCTTGATGCGCTGTTTTCCGAACAAGGCTGATTGGTGCTCGCGTGGTGTAGTCTCCAAATCAGCAGCATGGTTGCCCAATTGCTGGGACGCAGCTGAGGTAAAGCTCCTGAAGACTCGGCAAAAAGGATGTGCGCTGGACAGCCGTCGGGATCGACCTGCTGCCACGAGTGACTCCGCGAGCGGGACGGGTCATGGGGATTTGGTCGCGAGCACGTGAACTGCGCCGCATGTGGTGCAGAGATGTCTGATTGGTTGTAGTTCGCGCGAAAAGAACAGACTCTGACCCAATCGCCATTCACACACGAAATATACGCTTTGCCGATCACATTCGTTAAAATACGGAGTTATCAGGTCAGCCCTGACTGACTTATGGATATCGAAGGCATTCTTGTTGTATACCCAAAATAGGAGCAAGCTGAGAGTGCTATATAATGATGATTAAAGATATGGCATGAGTTTAAATATATATTACCCCACGGTACCATCCTCAACCCCCCTTAACTCAACTGCACATCATGCTGTCGCGCATCACGCATCCAGAACCGTCACAACGCATTCAAGCCCAACCATTCTCCATGATGTCCCCGTCAAAACATGCTGCACAGAAAGTACCGAGTTCCGTACAAAATAGGTTTCTTGCATGATTACCAGAGGTGTTCTGCACAAAACACACGCACTGCATACGCCATGTCCACCAATCACCAGAGGCACCACAGCACCAACGACACGTCATCCCCTGCTCCTGGCGGCAAGTTCCGGCCTAGCCGTAGCAGCAGCAGCGGAAGTTTACCCGCAAATGCCGCCGCATCTGGCGGGCGCTTCAATCACATTGGCACCGCCAGCGAGAATTCATGGATCAGAAAGGCCGTAAGCGGCGGCAACAGTGACGGCGGCGGCGGCGGTGGCGGCAGTGGCGGGGGTAGCGGCGGGTGGGGTCCTTCGAACAGGGGCAAGCAGGCAGCGACTGGCCGTGGGAGCGACGCGTGGGGAAACAACGACGCGAGGAGCAGCGGCGGCGGCAGCAGCAGCGGCGTTGGCGGCGGCGATTGGAAGACGCGTGGCGACGCGAGGGGAAGCAACCGCGCAGAGGAGGGATGGGGGGTGCGCGGGGGAAGCGGCGGAAGAGGGGGAGGCGGGGGATGGGGGGGAGGCGGCGGGAGGGCGTCGAGATGGGGGGAAGCAACTTCGTACAGTGGGCGGAGTGATAATGGCGGGGGAAGAGGGGCCAATGCAGCTGGTTACAGTAACCCCACACCTGCTGGCAAATTGGCGCCAGGTGATAAAGTGCCAGCGGTCGATAGCTCATCAATGCCTGATAGCTTATTAAGGCCTGATAGCTTATCAAGGCCTGATAGCTTATCAAATCATGATGGCTTATCAGCTGCTTATCAGAGGCTACGGGTGGCTGATGAGGGCAGCAGCGCCACGAGCAGTGGCAGCAGTGACTGGAGCAACGCTCCTAATGCCACCAGCCGAATCACCAGCTCCAGCCACAGCAGCAGCAGCAGCAGCAGCAATGTCGGCTGTCACAGCAGCAGCGGCAGCGGCAGTGGGAACGGCAGTGTGACGGAGCAGCAAGGGCGCGGGCGGTACGCATGGGCAACGCTGGTGATGCAGAACGAGGTGTATGCGTGTGGGGCACTCGTGCTAGGTCATTCCCTCAGACTCGCCAACACTTTCGCGGATCTCGTCTGCATGGTAACAGACGACATTGCTTCGGATGTTACTGCAGCTCTCGGGGAGGTTTGGGACCACGTGGTGGTTGTGCCGAGGCTGGAGGCTCGGCAGGGGGTTCGGCAGCGGCGGCAGGTTCGGTTCGGGCATATGTATAACCCGTGGTTAAGGGCATGCTTAACTAAGTTCACTGTTTTGCGGTTGGAGCAGTATGAGAAGGTTGCATTTTTGGATGCGGATATGGTCTGCGTGTCGGGGTTTTTTACCCTGGAAAATATTCAAGGGGACGGGCTGACCCTGCTCGAACGAGTGAAATTGTGGCGCGAAGCAGAGAGAAAAAAGACGGGCTTTGATAGCTGCCCTTCCGCTGGTGCTGCCCCTGCTACAACTGCTGCTTCAGCTGCTGCTCCTCCTTTTCCATCCCATGATCCCCCTACTTCGCTCCCCCCCCGTTCACACTGTGCTGCCGCACCTGTCTCCACCTCTCTCCGCCCCTCCATACCCACCTCCACCCCTCTGCACCCTGTTGCCTCCTCGCCATCCGTCCTCTCCATGGTGCATCATCAGCAGCAAGGCCAGCAGCAGCAGCAACCACAACAGCAATTGCAGGAGCAACTTCCACAGAAATTGCAGCAGCAGCAGCAGCTGAATGCGGCCTCTTCCTCTGCCTTCCCGGATCCCGATTCTCTGTTTGCTTGTCGCGCACCTGCTGGCATCCTCGACCTTTACCGCCGGTGTGTGCTCATGTTTGTGCCCCCCCAACCCACCGGTTTGTGTGTTTGTACGTGTGTGTGTGTGTGTGTGTATGTGTGTCTGTACGTGTGTGTGTACGTGTGTGTGTGTGTGTATGTGTGTCTGTACGTGTGTGTGTATGTGTGTGTGTGTATGTGTGTGCGTATGTGTGTGTGTATGTGCGTGTGTGTATGTGTGTGTGTATGTGTGTGTGTATATGTGTGTGTGTATGTGTGTGTGTGTGTATGTGTGTGTGTATGTGTGTGTGTGTATGTGTGTGTGTATGTGTGTGTGTATGTGTGTGTGTATGTGTGTGTGTATGTGTGTGTGTGTGTATGTGTGTGTATGTGTGTGTGTGTGTGTGTGTGTGTGTGTGTGTGTCCCCCCACCTGCTGGCAGTCACCTGCTTGCAACGCACCTCGCCATGCCCATCTCCACTGCACCCCACTGCACCCCACCACACCCCATTGAACCTCCTCTGGCAGGGAAGCAGTGGCTGCATGGGCAGCTGCTGGCGAGCGATGAGCCTCTCTGCATATCCAGCACACCCAACAACTATCATCTCCACCGCACCTCACTGCGCCCCACCGCACCCCACCTCACTGTACCACATTGAACCGCCTCTGGCAGGGACCTTGGGGCGAATCAGAGGTTGCACGGACAGCTGCTGGCGGATGACGATGTGCGGCGAGCCATGGAGGGGCTGTTCTATGCCATGCGCGGTGAGTGGTGAGGGGTTGGGAATGGTGTTGGGGGGGTAGACAGGGTAAGGGTAGTGATGAGGACGATGAGGCGAGCCATGGAGGGGCTGTTCTACGCGATGAGAGGTGAGTGGAGAGGAGGGGAGGTTGGGAATGGTGTTGGGGGGGTAGACAGGGTAAGGGTAGTGATGAGGAGGGGCGACAGCAGCTGCTGGCGGACGATGACGTGAGGCGAGCCGTGGAGGGGCTGTTCCATACGATGAGAGGTGAGAAAGAGAGAGAACGGGGGAAGGGATAGCTGGGAAGGATTGGTGAGAAGATGGAGGAAAGGAAGGGATGGGAGAAGGCAGCTTTTAGCAGATGATCACGATGCGAGGCGAGCCATGGAGGGGCTGTTCCATGCCATGAGAGGTGAGTGGTGGGGGGGGAAAGCAGGGGGAATTGTTGGGAAGGTGAGAAGAGGGATGAGATGATGGGAGACAGCAGCTGCTGGCGGATGACGACGTGAGGCGAGCCATGGAGGGTTGTTCTACGCGATGAGAGGTGAGTGGAGAGGAGGGGAGGCGTTTGGAGCGGTTAGGGTGAAATGAATGGAGTGCGGGAGGGTGTGAGAGAAAGTGCACTTTCTGAGGGATTATGACGTGAGGCCGAGGATTATGGAGGGGCCTACAGGATTATGACGTGCGGCCGAGACATGGAGGGGCTGTTCTATGCCATGCGCGGTGCAGGAGGGAAAAGGGGGAAGGGTGAGGGTTGCATAGGGGTGCATAGGGGTGCATAGGGGTGCATAGGGGTGCATAGGGGTGCATAGGGGTGCATGGGGGTGCATAGGGGTGCATAGGGGTGCATAGGAGTGCATAGGGGTGCATAGGAGTGCATAAGAGATGGAGAGAGGAGGAGAGAGGACGATGTGAGGCGAGCCATGGAAGGGCTGTTCTGTTTGACGACCTGCAGTGGTGCGTGCGGCACCACCCCATCGGGCACTTCCTCTCCTCCTCCCCCACTCCTCTCCTGTATCTCTCTCCTCGCCCTCCCCAATCCACACCACCCAGGCTGCACGCTCCTTCTCGCCCCAAGCCGCCGTCTATTCGACGATCTGCAGTGGTGCTCGCGGCACCACCCCATCGGCCACTGGGATGCCATGGCCGGCCCTGATGAGTATTTCAACTCCTCTCCACACCTCCCTCCTTGTACTATCTTCTCATCCCCTCCCTCCCTCCCAGGCTGCACACTCCTTCTCGCCCCAAGCCGCCGTCTATTCGACGATCTGCAGTGGTGTGCGAGGCACCACCCCATCGGCCACTGGGATGCCATGGCTGGGCCCGACGAATACTTCATCTCCAAATTCTTCCTCGACCGAGGGGTGCCGTGGACGCATGTTCACATGCGGTGAGATGCGGTCATGAGGGGTGCATGCATGGTAGCGAGGGATGCAGCCATGGCTGGCGCCTGTGAGTATTTCATCTCCAGGTTTTTCCTCGACCGCGGGGTGCCGTGGACGCACGTGCACATGCGGTGAGTTGGGTGCCTGGTGCATGCTCATGTGAGGAGTGCAAGCTCATGTGAGGAGTGCATGCTCATGTGAGGAGTGCATGCTCATGTGAGGAGTGCATGCTCATGTGAGGAGTGCACGCTAGTGAGGGCCTCTTCACATGTGCAGCCATGGTGGGCCCCGATGAGTATTTCATCTCCAAGTTCTTTCTAGATAGAGGCGTGCCGTGGTCGCTCATGCACATGCGGTGAGATGCATGCTCGATGCATCGTCATGAGGGGTGCATGCATGATGAGATGTATGCTCGATGCATTGTCATGAGGGGTGCATGCATGATGAGATGTATGCTCGATGCATCGTCATGAGGGGTGCATGCATGATGAGATGTATGCTCGATGCATCGTCATGAGGGGTGCATGCATGGTGAGATGTATGCTCGATGCATCGTCATGAGGGGTGCATGCATGATGAGATGTATGCTCGATGCATCGTCATGAGGGGTGCATGCATGATGAGATGTATGCTCGATGCATTGTCATGAGGGGTGCATGCATGATGAGATGTATGCTCGATGCATCGTCATGAGGGGTGCATGCATGATGAGATGTATGCTCGATGCATCGTCATGAGGGGTGCATGCATGGTGAGATGTATGCTCGATGCATCGTCATGAGGGGTGCATGCATGATGAGATGTATGCTCGATGCATTGTCATGAGGGGTGCATGCATGATGAGATGTATGCTCGATGCATCGTCATGAGGGGTGCATGCATGGTGAGATGTATGCTCGATGCATCGTCATGAGGGGTGCATGCATGGTGAGATGTATGCTCGATGCATCGTCATGAGGGGTGCATGCATGATGAGATGTATGCTCGATGCATTGTCATGAGGGGTGCATGCATGGTGAGATGTATGCTCGATGCATCGTCATGAGGGGTGCATGCATGATGAGATGTATGCTCGATGCATTGTCATGAGGGGTGCATGCATGCATGGTGACGATCAGTGCAACCATGGTAGGGCCCGATGGGTATTTCATCTCCAAGTTTTTTCTGGCCCGATGGGTATTTCATCTCCAAGTTCCAAGTTTCATCTGGCTCGATGGGGTGCCATGGACACGCGTGCACATGCGGTGGGTGGCGTTTCTTGGGCGTTTGGGAGCAAGGTGAGTTGCAGATGCCGCTTTAAAGTGATTGTTTGCACTGTGGTGAGTAGCATTTCCTGGACTCGTCCACTCTCTTTCACTCCTCTCACTGTTCCTCTTTTATCCTCTTTTATCCTCTTTTGTCTCTTTCAATCTTCTCCCCCCTCCTATCCCCCCCCTCACCAGGTTCGGAGCCATATCATGGGTGGTGGATGAGGCATTAAAAGGCCAGGTGCCCCCCGTGTTCATCCATTCGTGTTCCTTCGCTCACCACTCTCCTTCTCCATCCTCTCTTCTCTTTCCCCCCTCCTCCACCCCCTCACCAGGTTCGGAGCCATATCATGGGTGGTGGACGAGGCATTGCAGGGCCAGGCCCCTCCCGTGTTCATCCATTACGTCAGTGAGAAGCCCTGGGTCGCCCCTGCTGGCCCCTCCACCGCCCCTGCTGGCCCCACTTCTACAGTGAAAACGTCTACACCTGCTGTGACTTCTACAGTGACTAATTGGTCGGATTTCTTAGTGTGGGACTCTATAGCGGAGCAGGTGGTGGGGCTGCTGCATGCAGCAGGGGAGGAGGAGGCAGGAGCTGCCAGCAGGCTGTTTGCGGGGTGGGACGCAAGGAGGAAGCTTCCTGTTGTGTTCCCAGAAAAGCAGGGTTGAGGTCTGTACAGCTGAGCAGGTGGTACGGTATGGCTGCTGGAGGCAGCAGGGGTGGGAAGCGAGGAGGAGAGGAGGCTTTCTCGTTCTGGGGCGCCTCAAAACTAATCGTGAGGTCTGTATAGCTGAGCAGGTGGTGTGGCTGATGGGGGCAGCAGGGGTGGGTGGGAAGCGAGGAGAGGAAGCTTTCTGTGTTCCAAGGAAAAACAAGCGTGTCGCCCGTTTTAGAGGCCTTGAGGGCAGGATTTACTAACTGGGGTGGGGTTGTCGTGTCGCTGAGCTGACTCCCAATTTTGTGTATTGCTTGACATGAGCAGCACAGAAGACCAGCTGGATGAAATAGCTACAGTGCAATAAGTTTATGTTAGTTAACATTAGAAAGTGCAAAGACAAAGGAAGATGCAGCAAATAAGAAACTACAGTAAGGAAAAAGAGAAGTGTTGACGTGTTATGGTAATGCAGAAAATATTCCTGCCACTGCTCTCGGGCGATCAGAAACAAAACACAATTCGGAACCCGGAAATACACGGAGGAAAGGGTGACGCCCCAACCCCACCACCCAGGTTCTCATGCCCCACACCACACTGTCAGTGCAGCCTACAGGTGCAGCAAACATTCCCTTTCACCCTGTTCCATTTCACTCTGAGGCGGAGCGTCCTCCTCAGAGTCATGTCTTTGCTTCTGCTGCCTCACTCCCTGCTGCTGCACCATCCACTGCCATGGCGTCCCCTGCAGCACCCTCACCTCCCTTACTGTCACCTTCCTTACTGGCACCCTCTGCTCCTCCCACTCCGCCCTCCCCCCCACCAGCTGCCTCCCCTGCAGCAGCACCATCCCCTCCCTTCGAACCCTCCTCACCCCCAGACCCACCCTTATCAGCCGCACCATCCTCACCTTCCTTCCCTGCATCTGCCCCCACCACCACTCCCTCTTTCGCATCTTCTTTCTCCTTCTCATCTCCACCTTGCTCCTCCTTGCTCACTATAGCAGACGCCCCTTCAGCCGCCTCCGTTACAGGCACATCCCCATCATTCACATTCTCAGCCGCCCCAGTCTCGTTGCCCGCCTCTTTCTCAGCCTCCTTTTCAATCTCAGTCTCACCACCTTGCTTCGCATCAATACCCTCTCCTGCTGCATCTGCATCCTTGTCCGCAACATCCACATCAGCAGCAGCAGCATTTGCATCAGGAGCGGCAACATTTGTACCACCAGTTACCGCACTGTCTACCTCCATACCATCAACAACCTCCTTCCCTTCACTGCCCGCATTTCCCTCTTGCTCTTCCTTTCCTTCTTCTGCACCCTTCTCTTGCACCCTTCCCTCCTTCCCCTTCTCACCCTCCTCTCCCTCCTCGCCCTTCCCGCCCACTCCTCCATCTGCGCCCTCTTCCTTCGCTCCTGTCACTGCCGGCCCATCCTTCCCTTCCTTACCCGCATCCCCTCCCCCATCCACGTTCATCCCATCATCACCCTCACTCACAGCAACGCGCTCCTTCACAACACTGCCTCCCCCCACGCCATCTTCACTTTTCTTACCTGCTCCTGCCTCTCCCGCCCCTTCTCCCTCCACCTCCCCTCCCTCTACTTTCCCCCCCTCTACTTTCCCTCCCTCTACTTTCCCCCCCTCAGACTCTTCACCAACCAGCCATCCTCCCTCTGCTCCCGCGGTTCCCTCTGCTCCCGCGGTTCCCTCTGCTCCCTCTACGTCCCCTCCCGCGCCCGTCACCTCTTGCCCTTGCCCTGCTTCCACCACAGCAGCCGCTTCGCGCACATCCCCATCCTCCTCGCGCTCCCTCTCCGCTTCACCCCCTTCCACACCACCCACTCCTTCCATTCCCTTCTCCCCATCCTCCTGCTCCTCCGCACCAACACCACCAACACCACCAACACCACCAAACCCACCAAAACCACCACCACCAATTCCCACAACCACCTCCTCCTCCTCTTCTTCTTCCTCCACAACCATACTCGCTTTAAGCGTCTCCACGCTTGATTTAACCAACTCTTCGATATCCAGCCCAGCCAGGCCTGGAATCTTCCCGGAAGCCGCCACCACCGCATGCACCGCAGCAGCAGCAGCCCCAACCGCCTGCGCCATCCCCGTAACCGCCGCCACCTGCTGCTTCTCCCGCTTCTCCCGCCGCTTTTCCAGGACCACCAGCCTCTCCTGAGCCTCCACCTGTCGCTTCAGCAGCATCAGCTTTTCCTTTTTGAGCCCTAGGTCGCTATTCCGGTAGGTTTTGAGCTGGTTCGCCTCGGCTTTCCTAGCCTTTTCCCGCGCCTCCCGCTCGCGCGTCTCCAGCTTGTGGCGCTTCGCGAGCGCGTCCTCGCTTCTGCCCATCGCCCCTGCAATCACGTGCGCCGCGCGGACCATTGCGTCGCTCCCCAGCGCTCCGCTCGAGCGCGGCTCGCGCGACGACCCCGGAAGCCGAGATAACACACCGTCGTTGACTCGCCACGTCATCAGGTCGTCTTCTTGCCCGCCCGCGAACCCGAATCCGCCGGCGGACGCTGCGCCTCCCCCCCGCCCCCTTCCGCCGCCTCTTCCGCGGCCACGTCCTCTCCTTCCGGCACTTGCCGCAGGAGCCCCGCGCATGTCTCCCTGACTGCCGTGCCTTCCGCCGCCCATTGCGCCAGGTCCCGTCGCCGCCGCCAACCTCGAAAGTAACGGGTCCCCCTCATCCCCCGCTCCAGCGCCCAGTCCTTCCCCGCCTGCACCAGCTCCTGCCGCTTGACCCGCGGTCGGCCCCAGCAAAAGACTCGCCTGGTCGCGCAGCGCCACGAGATAAGGATCCTCCGCAGTTGACGGGACGTATGGCATCCCTCCGGGCATGTTAGAAGCCCCAGCATTCCCTCCGGAGCTCGTGCCGACATCCCACATTCCAGCCTGATTCCCGTCCGCGCCCCCGCGGGGTTGACCCGTTGACCCGCGTTGACCGCGTTGACCGAGTTGACCAGGCTGTTGCTGCTGCTGCATTCCGCGTTGACCGGGCTGCTGCTGCGGGTGCGTCCGCTCTTGCTCCTGCCGTGCATGCACCGCAATAGGCATCCACTCCATCATATGATCGAATAACTCTCGCGGGAAATGCGGCGGCATGCCAATCGCCTCGCGCTCCTCCACACTCAGCCGCCAAAAGTACCCGGGATTCGCGGCGTCCAGCGAGTTATCCCCAGGAGGAGGGGCGCGTCCTTCCATCTGCAGCCTCCGGCGTTGCTCCTGCTGAACCTGCCGCTGCCAACGAAAGATCTTCCGGAAAAGAAGTTTCGTGTTGTAATGGCGGCTGATGCAGGACTGCGCCGAACGATGGTACACCGCACCGCCGGGAGCGCGGCCCGAAGCCATCCATTTCACGAGGTATTTGCCTTGCTCGACTTTTCCCCACTTGAGCGCGTTCTCTCCAAGGCTGTCCTGCATTTGCTGGTGCGATTTGAGGCCTTCCGCGAACCAGAGCGCTTCCGCGAGGCTCCAGTTGCTTCCGCGGTCGCGCTTGCGTTTCTTGGAGTCCGGAAGGTCATCCCCTTCGTCGCCTTCCTCCCCCATGTAGTCTTCTTCATCTTCCTCGTCGCTCCAAAGGCCGTGGGAAGGATACGCGGAACCACCACCTCCGCCAGGATACGCAGAGCCACCGCTGCCAGGATATCCAGATCCTCCGCCGGATGCTCCCGGGCCGGTATAATAAGCGGGATCGCGGCCCAGCTCCATGGAGAGAATATTCTAGTTGTACAACTAATTGAGCCGCACAAAAGCTTTAAGTTGGATTGGGAACCAAATTGCGAATTACTGAGGCAAGCTGCAACTCTAGTCTAGAAGCGCACAGAAAAAAATATTAGCTGAGTTCCAACTCTGGGTGGTGAAAAATGGGCCTCTCAAGGTGTGTAATATATTCTGCCGAGTCCCGACCGTTATGTTTCTTGAGATCTGGTGGAGCAAACCCTCGAGGGTTTCGACTGCTGCAGGTGGTATTTTCAGGCAGCGGCGAGGGTTTCAGCTAAGACCAGGCAAAAAGGACCAGCCAAAACCAAGGTGGTGGTAGTTGGCAAGAACGTAGCTTATGCAGTAGTGACGAGGGTTTCAGCTAAGCCCAGGCGGAATGCTGCGGGCCTCAAGGGATTGGTGGAAGTTTGGCGAAGTGAAGGAGTTCGCGAAACTCTATCCACTGGATTTTCACACCAAGCTGGCTCGGGTTCCGTTCGATTCCCACAATCAAGGGTGGTTGGTTTGGTGTAAATCACGAGCGCCACAGGTTATCCAAGTCTTACTAAAAACACGGTTAACCGTCGATAAGCTTGTAAACTGAACGGCACGATTTTCTTTTTCTCATTGCACACAAACTCGGTAAGGTACAGACCATGGAGCTACATGTTTTATAGTTAAGTCACCTAAGGTACTAGGAACTATCCTTCAAATGATTCAAATTCGATTTCCTCATGGGTGAAAAGTAAAATTCACAAAACATGAACAATATAGCAGTCAAAAAAACTGCTTCATTTACACAAAAACAAAATTATATGATTTGGTGGGAAACCGGATTAGCTACACATCGTTTGCTTGACTGTACTCAAATGGGGGCACGCCATAACAGGGAAATGCTTCTGTGAAATACACGTCAATCGTTTCTGGTCTACCAATCAGTGGTAGCAAAACACATTTGGAACTGTGTCAGGTTCCAGAAGAAAATCTCTCCCAGTCGCAGTCCAGATGGCTTACACTTGCTGGTGAACGACTCTTCGCGAAGCAGTCGCCATCTTTCGGACACCCAACCCAAGCCTCGGAAATTACGCACATCCCAAATTCCGACCATCTCTCAAAGCAAATCTCAAGGTCCATTGTCGCACAGGAAGCCGTTGATCACCGAATAACTATTGTTTCACTGGATAGGCCCAGTTCCCTTGCAGTCCGATTCCAGTGAAATCTGCCGATTAACGTGTGATCCTAGAAGGCAGACCCTGGGTGCTGTCACCGTTTTGGTTAATTTTCCCTTACCTAGTCCGGGTGCCTTATCAGTTGCAAGTTCACTTTACGCGATCCGTAGCAGCATGATTGATGGTAGCGGTTGCGGGAGGTGGAGTAGGAGCAGAAATTATGAAGTTATTGCAAAACTTTCGCGGCAATGTATAAATATCAGTGTGCTGACTTTCCTCGTTGTCGCTGCATCGGCAGCCGATCCAGGTACGGTTGACAACCTCCTGTCGCTTAGCGAGGTTCGCAGCCATTTGACAGCGTGCATCGCATTCGCAGATACTAATAGTAGTAGAAGCTTTGTGTCATGTATCCCCGATCCAACTTAAATGGACAACTCCTTAACTCTTAGACCCGATAACTTTGCTCCCTGCGTTTGCGCCTTGAATCGTACTTATTTCCCAATCAGGCTCGTTTCTGCAATCTGGCGATGCGGCGGTGTCAGCAGGACAGTATTCTGCCGCGCTTCGGCACTACACCGCATTCATCGGTCAGTCTAACAACACTGCGAATATGGTGAATCAATAACTGTACCGGCATGATATTTGGCGTCGCAAAACCTGTCCAATTGGCATTTGTAGGGCATTGGAAACCTTGACTGATTGAGATACTCATTCACGTGCCCTTCCTCCCTAAAAAAATATCATTTTCCCCCTCCAGAAGCTGATCCCAGCACGGGCCTGGGATACACGAAGAGAGCGGCGGTTTACTTGCAACAGCGGAAGCACAGGGAAGCAGAGGCAGATCTAGACATGGCCATCCAGGTGGATCCGTCGTTCCTGCAGGGCTACCTGCACAGAGGCCGTCTCCGCCGTCAACTGTGCCAGTAAGCCGGCAATTCTGCCAGTAGGCCGTAAGATTCTGCCCAATAGGTCGTTAGGCGCCCGAAGAGGCGGATTTGGACATGGCCATTGAGGTGGAGCCTTTTCTCCTGCAGGGGTACCTGCACAAAAGCCGTGTTCGCTGTCAGCTGTGCCAGTAGGCCGTCAATTGTGCCAGTAGGCTGTCAAATTCTGCCAATTGGTCGTCGGGCGCACCTGCATCCCTATCCATTCCTTTCCTCCTGTTCCTCCCCCTTTGCTCATCACTATTTTCCACATGCAGGTTCTCAGCAGCTTCCGCCGATTTTGAGAAGCTAATAGAGTTAAAGCCGTCGCATACCAGCGCGCGGAAGGAGCTAGCGTCAACTAAGGCAGCGGCAGAGGCTCTAGCGGCCGTTAAAAGCGCAGTAGAGTCCGGGGGAGGGGAGGAGGTGGAGAAGCGGTTAGAGGATGACGTGCTCAGTGTAGTTCCGGACTGTAAAGAGGCGCTGTTGCTTAAAGCGAAGCTGCTTATGGCGAAGGGGGACTACCCTGGCGTGATTGCAGAGGCGGGCAGGGCTCTTAAATCGGATGAGAATGACCTGGAAGGGCTGCTGTTGAGGGGGAGGGCGTATCTGTACAACGGCGACCACGACCACGCACTGAAGTAAGTACAATGCGGCCAATGACCACACAATTAGCTAAGTAAGCTTTCACGTATCCACTTCTCTCTTCCTTCCCCCCTCTCGCTCCTCGTTTCGCCCAGACCCCTCTGCCCCCCCCCATCTCACAAACTGTGTAAAAGAATTGTCCCTACGGTATCATAGAGTCCCTGCCCTTCTCCTCTTCCCTTTCCCCTCTCTCCCATCCCCCACTCTCCCATCCCATCTTCCCGCCCCCCTCTTCCCCCCCTCACTCTTCTGTCTCTCCTCCTTATCGGGGTTTCTCCGCCTCTCCCCTTCGTCCAGGCACTTCCAGGCAGGTCTTCGGTCGGACCCCGAGCATGGGGAGCTTAAAAAGGCCTACAGACAGCTCAAGAACCTCGAGAAGAAAACCAAAGCGGTGAGTTGAGGGGGGTAAGGGAAGGAATGTCTGGTTGGTAGGAGAAGGCGAAGAGCTGAAGCGGGCGTACAGGCAGTTTAAAGAATCCGGAGAAGAAAACCAAAGCTGTGAATCGGGAATAAGAGAGAAAATTTATGTGGGAAAGGGGAGGGGAGTGGGTCCGTTTGAAAGGACAATCGAAGGAGCCGAAGGGAATTTTGATTTGTCCGCATTATTTCGGACTGAACTCGACGTGCTTTCCAATGCCCCTCTTCCCACTGGTCCCCCTCTCCCTCACGTGGTTCAACCAACCAGGCCTAGTAAATGCTGCAGCAGAGCAGGTTTTGGAGTGCCCAGTTCGTCTGAACTCATCCCAACACGCATTTTTTATGCCACCCTTCCCACTGCTCCCCCCTCCCCCCCCTTCTCGTTATTCAACAAACCAGGCCCAGGAACTGCTGCTGCAGAGCAAGTTATGAACTGCCCACCTGTCTGGACTCACCTCAACGCCTATTCTCTATGCCTCCCTTCCCGACGCTCCCCTCCTTTCCTTCCGCTTACTATTCAACCCACCAGGCCCAGGAACTGCTGGAGCAAAGCAAGTTCCGCAAGGCAGCAGACGATTTCAAGGCAGCTCTGGAGGTCAGTCATATTGGGATCACTCGGGGAATTCTCGAATGTATACTGGAAGGAACCTCTCTGAAAAGAAAGAAAAACGGCTCTGCAAGGCAGCAGCAGACGAAGCGAGGTCGGTCTGGCTGTGTGGCTTTGTGCGTTCGAAGTTATGTGTGGCCTCGTAATGTTTTAAGTGCGAGTGAGGGTTCTAGGAAGGGATACTGTTCACAAAGCCAGGTTCACCTGGTATGTATGTGGGGGCTCTGTGGCATGTATGTGGGGGCTCTATGGCATGTATGTGGGGGCTCTGTGGCATGTATGTGGGGGCTCTATGGCATGTATGTGGGGGCTCTGTGGCATGTATGTGGGGGCTCTGTGGCATGTATGTGGGGGCTCTGTGGCATGTATGTGGGGGCTCTGTGGCTCCTGGGTATTTTTGAGAATTCTCAAATTCACCTGGTATGTATGTGGGGGCTGTGTGGCTCCTCACAGGTTCAGAATGTGGAGTGATGAGACGTCTTTTTAGGCGCCTCAAGACTCAAAACTGACGTGATCAGACGTCCTCACGTGCTTGCATGTGCATCTCACGTGCTTGCATGTGCATCTCACGTGCTTGCATGTGCATCTCACGTGCTTGCATGTGCATCTCACGTGCTTGCTTGTCCATCTCACGTGCTTGCATGTGCATCTCACTTGCTTCCCACAAAGAAGGGCAATGATTTGCGTCTTTCACTCCCTTTTCTTTCGCCCTCATCCCCATCAGATTCTCCCCGACCACAAGCAGCACAACCTGAAGCTGCAACTGGGGCTGTGACCACTTTAGAGGCGCCTCTAAAATCCTCCCGGACCACCATCAGCACAATCTGAAGCTGCACTTGGGGCTGTGCAGGAGCCTGCTCAAGCTCCCTTTTTTCACATCCCGTTCCCCACTACTTTGCGTCTTCCACTCCCTTTTCCCTCTCCCCCATCCCCATCAGATCATCCCCGACCACAAGCAGCACAACCTGAAGCTACAACTGGGGCTGTGCAGGAGCCTGGTGAAGCTGGGGCGAGGCAAGGAGGCGGCACAGGCGTGCTCGGTGGTTCTGGCAGAAGACAACGACAACTTTGATGCGCTGCTGCTGGTCAGTAATACAGTACCCAAACCTACTGATGTGTTTAAGTGAGTCAACTCAAAGGCAGCTGGGGCGAGGCAAGGAGGCGGCGCAGGCGTGCTCGGTCAGTACCCCAAGCTTCTCAGAAGTCGCCTTATAAGGCGTATGAAAGTCACTCTAGAGGCGTGCTCGGCTGTGCTGGCAGAAGGCAACGACCACTTTAATGCTCTCCTGCTGGTCAGTATTGCAACCTTCTCGTACTGCCATTCCACTGCAGAGTCTGCTGCTGCCAGTAAAGGACGCGAAAAAACGTGTTTCATCGTTTCTCTCATTGTCAAGCTGCCCTCTCGTTTCTCTCATTGACCTTCATCGTGACGCATTACCCCCTCTTTACCATTTTCATTCCCCCATCTCTGTCTATATGCCTGCCGTACCAGCGTGGTGAGGCGCGCATTGCAAGTGAGGAGTGGGAGGGCGCTCTTGGGGACTTCAAGCATGCGCACCAGCTGAACCAGCAGGTGGGGCAAATGATTCAATCTATAGGCAGGTTGTCTCTATTTGAGTGTCACGTGCTTATGTGTCACATGCCTACGTGTCACATGCCTACGTGTCACATGCCTACGTGTCACATGCCCATGTGTCACATGCCTACGTGTCACATGCCTGCGTGTCACATGCCTGCGTGTCACATGCCTGCGTGTCACATGCCTACAGGCTACAGCCAGCACACCATCCTCTAACACTCACCCTCCATGCCCTCCCGTCCCCTCCTCCCCATCACCCTACACAGAGCCGTGAAGCAGTGGCGGGGTTTCAGAGGGCGGAGCAGGGGTTGAAGATGAGCAAACGAAAGGGCTATTACAAGGTGCTGGGGTTGGACAAGAGCGCTCTTCTCCCTTTCCCACCCTCCCTCACCCCCCCTCCGCCCTCTCTCAACCCCCAAATTTCTCCCCTCTTTACCCTGCACAACACAGAGTCGTGAAGCTGTCGCAGGGTTTCAGAGAGCAGAGCAGGGGTTAAAGATAAGCAAGCGAAAGGACTACTACAAGGTGCTGGGGTTGGACAAGAGCGCGTCTGCTGCTGACATCAAGAGGGCGTATAAGAGGCTGGCGCTCAAGTGGCATCCGGATAAGAATGTGGAGAACAAGGAGGAGGCGGAGGAGCAGTTTAGGGAGGTGGCCGCTGCTTATGAGGTGAGGGAGAGAGAGCGTGGGGTGTTGAGGTGAACAGGTTTAACATAAAAGGAATTGATGCAAGAGGCTGGCGCTTCTGGGTAACCGGATAAGAACGTGGAGAACGAGGAGGAGGCGGAGGAGCAGTTTAGGGAGGTGGCCGCTGCTTATGAGGAGATGGAGAGAGAGAGGGAGGGGTGTTGAGGTGAACAGGTTCAACATTCAATGGACCATTCAAGGGATTGATGCAAGATTGTAGCATTCGAGTGGCATAAGAACGTGGAGAATAAGGCGGAGGCCGAGGAGCAGTTTAGGGAGGTGGCCGCTGCATATGAGGTGAGAGAGAGCGGTATTGAGGTCAATGTGATCAACGCAGGGTCAATGGGGTCACCTGGATGGGTTGAGTAAAACAAGGGGATGAGTTACAAAATGCTGGTTGCCGAGTGGCTAGGGGAGAGAGACGTTGCATAACTCCACCTCACACCCTTGGGCTCCGAAACAAACTTCCTGTTTCTCCCTTCACCCTCACTCTTTCAACCCTCCAGGTGCTAGGGGACGAGGACAATAGAGGGAGGTACGACCCTGGAGAGGATGTGGACGAACCAGAGCAGCAGGGGGGAGGGTGAAATCACTCCCCCATTCTTTTAACCCATATCCCACCCCCCCGCCCTTCCTACCCTCCAGGTGTTGGGAGATGAGGACAAGAGAGGGAGGTACGACCGGGGAGAGGATGTGGACGAACCAGAGCAGCAGGGGGGAGGCGGGGGCTTCCCCTTTGGCCAGAACGTCAGGTTCCACTTCCAAGGGGGTGGGGGATTCCCAGGTGGTTTCCCGGGTGGATTTCCTGGGGGGTTCCACTTTCAACAAGGGTAACTGGGACACCATGTTACGTTGAAGAAAATTATACACATGCTGGTTTCTTCTACCACTACGGTAATTGTTTGCTGCTGCGAGTGCCTTAAAGCACTCCTGGATTAGCTGTAGTCATTAATTAATGTTAAACTGAATCAAGCAGCTCCAGTTGATAAAGGTGGATCATACAGTACCATTGGCAATTAACTGGTCCCTGTTCGTTATTCTAGACACTGCTACCTGTATCTCACAGCACAGCAGTCAATCAGTGTACCGTAGCTGTTTCTAGCATGAAGTGGCTTGTAACGGAACTTCTAAACACGTTCTACAAAATTGGATGCCCCTAACACCTTTGTGGAGCATTTGCCATGCAGGCAACAGAAACAGCCAGCAGAGCACCTGGACTCAGCTCATGCGCGAGCCTTCAGCTCGAGTGTAAGACTTCGAGCTTGAGACGTTCAGAATGGCCAAGGCTGAGGAGAGCTGAGGCTCAGCGTGAGCCTCAAGAATTCCATTGGAGGCACAGGGGTTAACCCAGTCACCACCTGTCAAATGTTGTAGCCTGTAGTGAGGTTTGTCTTAGGGGGTACAGAAGTTAGGGTTTGTCATATGTACCCCAACCAACATCAATGCAACACTCATTCCTCATTCTGACATGGTATCAGCTAGGTTAGGATCCTGTGGGATCCCGTTCCTCCGTTCTCCGTTCGTACCTCCCGAGCCTGATCCTACCTCTCGTTCGTACCAGTTTCGTAGTTACCGCGCCTAGTACCGAGCCTAGCGTCATCTCCCCCGTCGCGTCACGCCTGTTCCCCCCCCGTCGCGTCACGCCCGTTCCCCCTGTCGCGTCGCGCCCGTTCCCCCCCGTCGCGTCGCGCCCGTTCCCCCCGTCGCGTCGCGCCTGCCTGTTACCCCCCCCCGTCCCGTCGCCCTGTCCCGTCACGTCGCCCTGTCCCGTCGCCCTGTCCCGTCGCCCTGTCCCGTCACATCGCCCTGTCCCGTCGCCCTGTCCCGTCGCCCTGTCCCGTCGCCCTGTCCCGTCGCGTCGCCCTGTCCCGTCGCGTCGCCCTGCCCTGTCCCGTCGCGTCGCCCTGCCCTGTCCCGTCGCCCTGTCCCGTCGCGTCGCCCTACCCCGTCGCGTCGCCCTGCCCTGTCCCGTCGCCCTGCTCCGTCGCGCCGCCCTGCCCCGTCGCGTCGCCCTGTCCCGTCGCGTCGCCCTGCCCCGTCGCGTCGCCCTGACCTTTCCCCCGTCGCGTCGCCCTCCCTAGGCCCTGGCCTGTCGCCCTTCCTAGGCCCTGGCCCGTCGCCCTACCCTAGGCCCTGGCCCGTTGCCCTACCCTACGTCTTGGCCCGTCGTCCTAGCCCACTCTTCCGCTGCGACTGAGTCCTCTTCCCCCCCCGGTTGTTACTCGCCTGTTCGTTCTCACTATGGCGACTCCGCGAGTTCTTCGTTTCGACGCCGACGGTAGACCCCTTGACTTTTCCGTCTGGCTTCTTCGCGCTCGTCGTCTGTTAGAGAGTCAGGTCCAGGGGGGCGAGACCCTCTGGTCACACGCTACTGGTGACCTCCCCGAGCCCCCCGAGCCTACAGCTTTAGGCCCTGCTCCTGACGATGCTGCTACGGCTCGCTTTGCCCGTCAGCGCGCTGACCGGACGGCTTGGACGTCGCGTGACGCTGCGGCCTGCATCGCACTCAGCAGCCTCCTCCCTGAGTCCGAGGAGGTCCACTTTACTCAGGTTCGCACCGCTGCTGCGTACCTCACTGCGATTAAGGCCCGCTACTCTACTCCCGCTACTGTCTCTCTCGGCCGTCTTTTCCTCCCGTTCCTGTTTCCTGATCTTGCCTCGTTTGAGCGCTCTGCTGACTTGATCGCTCACCTCCGCTCGCTTGACGCTAGTTACCGCGCTGCTTGCACTGAGGCACAGCTTGCACTGCTTCCTCCCCCCATGGCGATTACTGTCTATTTCATCGCCACTAGCCTCCCTGACCGCCTTGCCTCCGTTCGTGACGCGCTTCTGCTGAAGCACCCTAGTGAGCTGACTATCGAGGTCCTTGAGTCTGCACTCAAGGATGTCGAGAGCAACCTTCGTTCGGTAGCTGCCGCCTCTGGTACTGTATCCCCCCCACTCTTCCACGGGTGCACAGTCCCGCAGTTACCCACCTTCACTGCCTCTCTTGCCACTGCCGCTACTGACGCGACTGCGGCTGCTGTTACGACTGCGTCGCGGTCCCGCGGCAGGGGGGGCAAGAAAGGTGGTTCCGGTGGAGGTGGAGGCGGAGGTAGCGGAGGTAGTGGGGGTGCTGTTGCGACTGGCGGTGGTGGGAGTGCAGCGTCTGGAGAGACCCCTCGTGCAGCGGCCGGTGACTCCACTGCACCTGCTGGTGGCAGCGACCCTCGAGCTCGTCAGTCGCCTCCTGTACTGTCGGCCCCGCTAGGTGGAGCAGCGGCGTGGTACCAGGCTCAGCGTCAGCAGCAGCCCCTTTCCTCCCAGCAGCCTCAGCAGCAGCAGCGTCAGCAGCTGGCTCCGGGGTCGGGGCTGCGTCAGCCCCAGCGCGGTGCTGCTTACCCTCCCTGCCCCTACCAGGTTCAGACAGGTCCTCGTCGGGGCCACCCTTGTGGCCGCTTTCACCCCCCTGGTCAGTGCTTTGCTCAGCTCACTGACACGGTCCGGTTGACCTACGGGGTTGGCGGTCCTGCTCCTGACTGGCTTCCTCTGGTTCAGCGCTACGGCTCCGCTCTGTGGGGCATGTCTGCTGAGCAGTTAGTTGATCTGATTAGTGCTCCTCATGCTATGTATGCTGTTGTTGACTCTAGTGTTTCCGACTCTGTTTACTCTGGTGTTGTTAGCTTAGGTGCTAGTCTTGCTGAGTTGCCTGTTGCTAGTGTAGGTACTTGTGTAGACTCTAGACCAGCGACTACCTCAGAGGACGCTTCGCTGTCGTTCACACTGGACTCTGGAGCCTCCCACTGCTTCTTTCGGGACAGCACGACACTTACACCACTTCCTGCGCCTGTTTCTGTAGCGTTGGCTGATCCCACTACGGGACCAGTCACTGCACGTCACACTACCACTTTACCGTGTCCTGCTGCTCCCTCCGGGTCTCTCACTGGGTTTCACGTCCCCTCGTTCTCCCGGAACTTGGTGGGCGTGCGACCCCTCGTGAGCCAGCACGTGGGTGTGTGGTTTGAGCCTTCTGGAGAGACTGCGGTGTGTGTTGACGGAGACTCTTACCAGCCTCTTGCTACCTTTACTACTGAGCCGGGCTCGGGTCTCTACACTCTTCACACTGGCCCGCGTGCGCCGCAGCAGCAGCCGCAGCAGCAGCAGCAGCCGCAGCCGCAGCAGCAGCAGCAGCAGCAGCACCAGCGGCCGCACCAGCAGCCCCCCCTACTGCCACTGCCCCCGGTTCCCCCCCCCCGTTCGGGTCCCCGCGTCTCACCAGGTTGCTACGTCCCCCCAGGTGTCTGTGTCGTGTCAGGTTCCTCCGTCTGTTCCAGTCGCTGCGTCGTGCTCCTGCCGGTCGCTTGCCCACCCCACCGTTCTGTGGCACCACCGGATGGGGCACCCGTCCCTTCCACGTCTGCGCGCTATGTCTAGTCAGCGTCTTGTCCTAGGCCTCCCACGTGTCTTGCCGTCGCTGCCGCCTTCGCCTGCGCCGCCGTGTCGTCCCTGCGTCGAGGGTAGGCTGCGCGCCACCCCTCACTCCTCCTCCCTTCGTCCGGCCACCGAGCCTTTTGAGACGCTTCACTTGGACGTCTGGGGCCCAGCCCCTCGTCTAGGCCCTGAGCGTGAGCGTTACTTTCTGGTGGTCGTTGACGACTTCTCCCGCTACACCACAGTGTTCCCTCTGGCGAAGAAGTCTGAGGTGACTTCTACGCTGATCAGGTGGTTGCTCACCACCGAGGACACTCGTGGTCGTCGTGTCAGCTGTCTCCACTCCGACCGTGGGGGTGAGTTTCGCTCCGGCATTCTCGCTGGATTCTGTCGCGAGCAGGGCATTCGTCAGTCCTGGACGCTTCCAGAGTCCCCACAGCAGAATGGGGTTGCTGAGCGCCGCATAGGCCTGGTCATGGAGATCGCCCGCACCTCCCTGACTCACGCCTGTGCCCCCCATTTTCTGTGGCCCTACGCGGTCAGGTACGCCGCGCACCAGCTGAACCTCTGGCCACGTGTCTCTCGACCAGAGGTTTCACCGACCAGTCTTTGGACAGGGTTCCCTGGTGTTGCGTCGCGGTTTCGTGTCTGGGGGTGCTTGGCTCTTGTCCGCGACACCTCCGCGGACAAGCTCTCGCCTCGTGCCGTCCCCTGTGTCTTCCTTGGTTTCCCTGAGGACTCCTCTGACTTCACCTTTTACCACCCTCCCTCTCACCGGTTCTTTGACTCCCGTGACGTCCGTTTCGAGGAGTCCACTCCGTACTACGTCAGGTACCCCAGTCGAGGTCTCCCGGTTCCTCCTCCCCCCCTCTTCCTGACTGCCGTTCCCCCTCCTGCTCCCCCGGTACAGCCTCCCCCCCCTGGTCCAGCCCCGTCAGGTGTGTCCCAGGCTACCCCTCCTCCTTCGGTAGCCCCTCCGGTACAGCCTCCCTCCCCACAGTCCTCCTCGCAGCGTGCCGCTGGTGCTAGCTCTCGAGAGGTTGGTGCGACGCCTGTTCCTGTACCGGTTTCTGGTTCTGGGGGTGCTGGAGTTAGAGCTGGAGTTGGAGCTGGAGTTGGAGCTGGAGTTGGCACTGGAGTTTCTGGTTCTGGGGGTGCTGGAGTTGGAGCTGGGGTTGGAGCTGGAGTTTCTGGTTCTGGAGTTGGAGCTGACCAGGTGGGTGCAGAGGACGCTTGTCGTCCGGGAGCTGGTGCTGGCCGCGCGGACACTGGGGGTGCTGCGTCTGGGGGTGAGGGTGCGCCTCCTTTGGGTTCAGGTGAGCCTGGGTCTGGAGCTGGTGTTAGTGCTGCCTCTGGGGGTGGTGAGCCTAGTTCTTCTGGAGTGGACTCTGGAGCTGCCGCTGCTTCGGACACTACTCCGCCCCCCCACCCCTACCCGACTAGGCACCAGGCTCGTGTTCGCCGTGCCCGTGACGAGCAGCTGGCGTTGGAGAGAGAGGAGAGGGAGTTGCAGCGGCTGGAGGAGCAGCAGCAGCAGCTGGAGCCGCAGGAGCAGCAGCAGCAGCAGCAACAGCTGGACCTGCAGGAGCAGCAGTCCCAGCAGGAGCCGCGTCCGCAGCAGCAGCAGTCGCAGCCGCAGCAGCAGCAGCCACTTCCTCCTCCTATCTCGGGTCTTCGGATCCTTGGTCTCCCCTCCCCTTCTTCTCCCTCCTCCGCCTCTCCTCCTGTCTACGGTCCCACGTTTCCTCCTCCTGACTCCTCCCCCGCTGTTTTCCCCAGTTCTCCGCCTTTGTCCTCTCCTCCTCCGTCTCGTTCTTGGGCTACTCGTCGCTCCCCTCGTGCTCGTCCCTCGTCTCCTGTTCCCTTAACTGACCTTCGTACTGCCTTCCTTCTTTCTAGTCCACCTCGTCCGTCTCAGTCTGTGCTTCCGTCTCCTCCTGAGTCGGCCCTCACTGTGTCGCTCCCTACTCCTGTCACTGACTACTACCGCACGTACCGTCCTGTTCTCTCTCGTGTTCTCGCCTCTCTTGTTACTCACCCTCGTGCCTCTGTGTCCTCTGTGTCCGCTCTTACTGCCGCAGTTACTGACTTTGCCTCTACCCGCCGCCTTGACTACGCCACCACGCTTGTGGCTGCTCCTCCTACCAGTCCTCTGGCCGTCGGGGGTGTGTCTGCCCTTGGCTGTGACGCCCTAGAGGACAGGCAGTTTGAGCTAGAGTTCCTGGCGGCCGCTTCCCCTCATCTCTGTGCCATGCTCCTCGCCCCTGAGGGTGACCCCGACGCCCTTGACATTCCGACTCCTCGCACTTACGCTGAGGCAGTGTCAGGGCCTTGGGCCTCTCAGTGGAGAGCTGCCATGGACGCAGAGATGGCCTCCTACAGATCCACAGGCACCTACGTCGATGAGGTTCCCCCCCCTGGGGCGAACGTAGTCGACGGCATGTGGATCTACAGGGTGAAGCGGCCACCGGGATCTCCCCCGGTCTTCAAGGCGCGCTACGTGGCTAGAGGTTTCAGTCAGCGCGAGGGAGTTGACTTCTTTCAGACCTTCGCACCTACCCCGAAGATGACCACTCTTCGGGTGTTACTACACGTAGCAGCATAGAGAGACTACGAGTTACACTCTCTTGACTTCTCCACTGCTTTCCTTCAGGGCAGCCTACACGAGGAGGTCTGGTTGCGTCGTCCCTCGGCCTTCACTGGCACCTTCCCTCCTGGGACCCAGTGGAGGCTGAGGCGACCTGTTTACGGTCTTCGCCAGGCCCCTCGTGAGTGGCACGACACTCTGCGTTCTACCCTCTCTGACCTTGGGTTCCAGCCGTCTTCTGCCGACCCGTCGCTGTTCGTTCGTCGTGGCTCCACACCGTTCTTTGTTCTGGTTTACGTCGACGACCTCGTTTTCGCCACTCCGGACAGGGTTGCTTTGGCAGACGTGAAGTCCGAACTGCAGAAGAGACACACGTGCACTGATCTTGGTGAACTGCGCCACTACCTTGGCCTGCAGATCACCAGGGACAGAGCCGCTCGCACCATTACACTCTCACAGTCACACATGGTGCAGCAGGTCCTTCAGCGGTTCGGGCTTCAGCACTCCACCGTACAGCGCACACCTCTAGCTGTTGACCACAGACTCACTGGTCCCTTTCCTGACGAGCCGTTTGAGCCTAGTGGTCCCTACGCAGAGCTTGTGGGTTGCCTCATGTACCTGATGACTTGTACTCGCCCGGACCTCGCCTTCCCTCTCAGCATCCTTGCGCGCTTTGTTGCGCCAGGGAGACACCGTCCTGTTCACTGGACGGCAGCTGTGAGGGTGGCGAAGTACCTAGCGACTACATCAGGCGTGGGGCTAGTTCTTGGAGGGCAGCAGTCTGTCGTACTCACTGGTCACTGTGACTCCTCTTACGCTGACGACGCTGAGACTCACAGGTCTACTCAGGGGTACTGTTTCAGTCTGGGTTCTGTAGCTGTTTCCTGGCGTTCCACGCGCTCCTCTTCTGTCTCGACCTCTACAGCTGAGGCTGAGATTTACGCTGGTGCCATGGCGGCACAGGAGTTGCGGTGGTTGACCTTCTTGCTCACTGACCTTGGTGAGCGGCCGAGCTCTGCACCGACCTTGTTTACTGACAACAAGGCGTCGATCCTCCTCTGTCGTGAGCCGCGACTGGAGAGCAGAGTGAAGCACATTCACATCAGGTACTTTCTTCTGCGAGAGTTGCAGAGGCGTGGACAGGCTCGCTTCGAGTTCGTAGAGTCCGAGGCCAACACTGCAGACATCTTCACCAAGGCGCTTCCGCCTTGTGACCACCAGAGGTGTTGTGTGCAGTTAGGCCTTGTTGACACAGGTTCTAGTCATGCGTAGACTTGAGTTTATTGCCTGCTTCGTCTGTACATTTACTATATATACTTGTGATCTCTTGGACTGGCCTTGTGGCCACTGTTGCTTGTGCTCAGAGTGTGTGGTGACGTTGTGATCCACCCTGAGCTTTGTTTTCTTTTGGACTGGTCTTGTGACCGTACTCTTTTTGTTTTTGCTAGACACCCCTCACTTAGGCTATGGGGGTGTGTCAAATGTTGTAGCCTGTAGTGAGGTTTGTCTTAGGGGGTACAGAAGTTAGGGTTTGTCATATGTACCCCAACCAACATCAATGCAACACTCATTCCTCATTCTGACACCACCACCTACTATAATGACGCTGAAGCTGCTTCCCAGCTCGAGATTGTACTCAGCAATTCCCAAATGCCATGCAGCATCCAGAAGAATGTCTATCTGTGTGCGACTGGCGGCGCAACTGAATCCTGGTGCAGAATTGTCGACTCTTGAGGCCTGACATTGAGACGAGACCAGATGCGCTGTTACGAGGCATGCAGCTGCCTCTCCAGCTCCAGCTTGTACTCGCGCATTCCCTTGATGAACCCCACGGCAGCATCCAGGAGAGGGGCTATCTGCGTGCGACTGCTGACCCCTGCCCGGCCCTGCTGCCTCAGCAGCACCTCCGCTGGTATCGCTGCCTTGAGGGCCTCCAATCGCTCACTGTGAGACACACATGGGAAGAGGAAGGGACAGCAGGAACATGAGGGACCGGAGTGACGTTTGAGACATGTTCAGGTGGTAAGGGACGCATTAGGCTGGACAATGGATCGACTTAAAGTGGACTCAAGACATTGGACACGCCTTGAGCGCCTCCACTCGCTCTCTTTTGAGAGATGCATGGAAGTGGAAGGGACAGGACCGGACCCTTGCCCAACTCACGTTATTCTGGACCGCCGCTGTTTCTCCGTTGCACTCTTCCCACTAATTTTCCTCCTTCCTGCTGCTGCAACAGCCCCTGCACGTCCCACCCCTCCCCTCGGGGACCGCGACAAGGGAGACGGGGTCGCAGAGGGCGACTTAAAGCCCATGCTTCCTCCTGGGTGTGACTTTTGGGCTGCTGCAGACCCACGCAGTGCTGCTGCCTGCATTTGAGGCGAGTCTGGAATGAAGGGGTGCTGTGCGTGTGTCTGCGGTACAGAGGTGTTTGGGGTGAAGGGTTTGAGTGCGTGTGCCTGGACGGATCCTGATTGCACTAGGGGATTCGGTTTCAGGGAATGCGGTAAAGGCGACAGCTCTGGAGATAGCTCAAAACGCAGCTCAGGCGAGACGGAGTGGTGCAGACCGGTGGTGTCAGGTGCTTGTGGTTGGAGTCACCTCAACAGGCTGCTAATAGCTGCGTGCCGCTGCTGGTGTGCAAGGGACGAGACTGGCAAGGCAGGAGCAGCAGCACGAGCAGCATGATCAGCAGCAGCAGCAGCAGCATCACGACCATAAATAGCAGCAGCAGAAGCACCACCACCACCACCACCACCACCACCACCACCACCACCACCACCACCACCACCACCACCACCACCACCACCACCACCACCACCACCACCACCACCACCACCACCACCACCACCACCACCACCACCACCACCACCGCCGCCGCCGCCGCCGCCGCCGCCGCCGCCGCCTCCGCCGCCGCCGCCGCCGCCTCCGCCGCCGCCGCCGCCGCCGCCGCCGCCGCCACCACCACCACCACCACCAATAGCAGCAACAGCTGGGGGGAAAGCGTCCACACACCCATCAAGTCCCACCCCACGCTCCGTCTCGAAGCGCTGCGTCTCAAAGGGGTGTGGCAAAAGCTGCATGGGAGCAGCAGCACCACCAGTGGCAGCAACAGGGCCACGAGTAGCAGCACCATCATCAATAGCAGCAGCGACGGAGGGAAACGCGTCCAAGAACCCGTCAAGTCCCACCCCACGCTCCGTCTCAAAGGGGTGTGGCAGAGGCTGCATGAGAGCAGCAGCACGTGGGTCCGATGGGAGTTGTGGCAGGCACACGCCAGCACGTGTGGGACGCACGTCAGGGTATGTGGGGCCCAGGCCAGAGTGTGTGGGGCTCACGCCTGGACGTGTGCGGCACACCCTGGGGTCTCTTAGGCAAGTGGTTGCAGCAGCAGGCGCAGAAGCCGTGGCAGCAGCAGTCCAGCAGGAAGGCACTGAAACAGGTGCGATTCTTGACACGTGGGGTGCACGGGTAGGAGCGGCCATAGCAGGAAGGGCTGCTGTTGTTGCACCCCACAGTGCACCGTGCTTGGCTATACAGCGCGGCCTTCTTTCGTCTAAAACGAGGCTACTGCTGGTAGAGAAGACAGCAGCAGCAGCAGCGCGTGGTTCAATGGCTGCAGTAACAGCAGCAGTTGCAGCAAGAGGTAGACCAGTATCAACAGCAGAAGGGTTACCACATAGTCTCTTCCTTCCCTGAAAAGCGTCCATATCAGCAAGATCGTTCGTCTGAGAGGCTAGAAGCCTTCTTTTTCTGCCAAAAGTTGGTCTGGAGGTGGGAGAGTAGTGAGCTTTGAAAGCCGTTGAGGGGTTGTGAATGGGGTGAAGGGACGGTGAGGGGAAGGAGCGAGAAGCAGGTGGAGGAGAGGTGCTGAGATGCGAAGACCGCTGATTGGGCGGCAGCTGCTGAGTCAGCAGCGGCGCAGGACTCAATAGAACGGAAAGACGAGACTCATTCCAAATCCCCCCTTCACTCTCCGTGCGCACCAGCCCTGTGTGCTCTGCGCTTAGTAAAGCTGACTCGGACTCCCTCAGCCCTCGCTTCTTAGCGACAGCAGGCTTGGAATCAACCAGCCCAGCGTGCTATGCGGCGTCGGCCAACGCGGAGTCACTCGGGCCGTGCTGCTCGGTTCTCAATGCGGATTCACTCAATCCGGGCTGCTCGGCGCGCTGCAGAGCTTCTTGGATCAGGCGGAGCTCCTCCCTGCTGATGCTGCAACAATCTGCCTGCACGGCTTGCAGCACCCCCGTTAGAGGCGCGTCCAAGCATGGCTCTTCCGTTAGAGGCGCGTGCGCATCTAAACATGGTTTCCCCGTTTGAGGCGCCGAAACATGATCCCCCCGTTAGAGGCGTGTCCAAGTAATCCATGGGGAGAGTTACACCAAAGTTAACACGGACTCGATCTTGTAGTCGCAGAAGCGAAAGAGCACGCGAGCAAACCTGGACGGAGTTTATTCTTCAGAAGCTTCAAATTAAAACAAACCTGGACGGAGTTTACTCTCTGGAAGGATTTGTCGGAAACGAAAGTTCACGCATCTTTCTATCTACAACAAGCTGGCATGGAACTAAGATAACGCTGGAGGAACTGATAAGACAGGAAATGCATCGGCTCTTCACAGACTATGCATTCTAACTTGGGACGCGGCGTGGGAGTGCTTTGGAGAGGGGAGGAGCAGCACTCTCGCGACGCGACGAGGGACTAACTAACCGCTCAAATGCGTGTGTGAGCCAATGATTTGCGGCATCCTTCAAGGCTGGGCTGAACGGAAACTGGGCTGCTAGCCGTCAAAGCTGGGTGCCACTTCAACCAATCATGCTATTGAAAACCGTAAAAGAAGGTCCAAATGCTGAAGAATCTGGTTTATGGCGCGTGCAAGGTTCCGTGATGTCGCCATGATAGAAAAAAATCATCGCGATAATGTTTGTTCAGTATCTGCGAGGCCTGCTGGCGCGTGGATCCTCCAGCTCAGCATGTTGCTTATCCACGGACTGCGAACCCTCGCCTGAATATAGCCGAATATTGTGTTGTGGTGTGTATTCCACGCCAGAATACAACCGTGGGATACACACCCTACATCCGTACCGTACGAGCGACACAATGGGAGAAAAAAAAATACTGTCCGATTCGGATCGGATGGGAGACAAATATGGAAACGACTCCTCTTGCTTGACTCTACTCCCAGATGGAGTAAAAGAAGGGAGCCAAACTCCCGGTTTACGTACCAACATATTTTCTCAGAAGAAATAAAGAGTGTTGTACTGTTGCGAGAACGAGGTTCTCGGGGGGTTAACTTCTTCCTTGTCTCTACGAATCTATAACACCTACGAATCTATGCGCTTCGAAGCTGTTGCCACTATAGCACCAGCCGTGTAAATTATGCTCACCTGCACCTCACGTGCGTGCTTCTTAGCACAACGTCACTGCGGCAGCAATAAAAGCACTCCGAGTGCGCGTGAGGCCCAATGAGTGACGGGACTCCGGGAGCGTATCAGGTTTGAGGGCGATATGGAGGCTGGTGGCCAGCTTCAGATAAGTTGTTCCTTGGACAAGCCAATGGAGAAGGAGGGGGGATCAAGGTTGTCCTTGCAAGGGGAAAAGAAATAGTAATATATTGTTGTGATTCGGCTCTCCTTGTTGAAAGGGAAATTATACGGGCAGTTACAATTTTCCCGTTTTAAAACCGGAGTCCCAAACAGCCCGTTGCTGCCGTAGCACCTCCAGCTGCCGCCCCTGCTACCACCTGCCTTTCCTACCTTTGCTTTTGCTACCTACTGTTGGGGCCTGCAGGTGCTGCCGTCGAGCCGCTGCTGTCCTGCTGCATGTTGCAGCCACAGAGCCTGCTCCTCAGGCGACCTGCCGCCCCAACACCTGCTAGTGTTTCTACCTTGGTCAAGGGGTTGGTACAGTTGGATCTGCCATCACTGCACCGGTTGCCAGTGCACTTGCCTGTTACTGTGATTTCCGCTACGGCTTGTCTGGTGTACCCCATTATGGGGGCGTTGACTGCATATTCTCCCCTACAGGCACTTATGGGGGCGTGTCAGAATAATATATAAATCTATATATTGTTTTGTAACTGCCTGTAGTGTAGACTACTGTAGTTATATAATGTTCTGTTTTGGTGGTGCACCTTTCCTGATTCTTCCCTATTTGTACCCTCGCTCAATATTGAATCATCCTCTTTTTGGCAAACTCTCTCGACCACTTTTCTCTCGTCACTCTGGCCTAGGTCGAACCCTAGGCCTCAACTACTATTCTTGATAAACCTTCCTAACTTTGATAAGGGGTGACGCAGTAGGAACGACTCACTTCGCAAATCGGGGGGACAATTTTCGTCACGCGAAACTACTGTTCTAGTGAGGACGAAAGTAGTGACGATTTCGCCAACAAATTTGAAGCCCGTCCGAAACTGTCTGCGAACCAGTTCTGACGTTGCATTCCAGATCTGGTTATTTTCGCGAAATTTTCTTCCTTTACGACCCCAGACCACCAATTTCGACACCACCCTGGCTCGCGAGCCAGTCACATTTCTCTCCCCTTTCAACCTTCCTAACTTAGAAACTCTTGGACCTCCGGTTTTAACACGTTTGGGCACAGGGGTATCACAAACACTCACAGTACAATAGATTTCTATCGCGGGTGATCACAGTGTTGTCACGGATGGTCACACCTCGCCCCTAAAAGCTATCACGTTTGGTCACTCAATGAAAAGATCTTAATACACTTGAAACCACAAAAGAAACTGTAGAGATTTTGGAGAATCCCAATCTTGATTGCTTGTTACCTCGCGCTTGATTCTAGCCTGACATTTAGGGAATGAAGAAACGAAAATAAACCCCTATAGGGATGGCACTTTCTTCAGGAGGCATCAACCCTAAACACCATGCGACAAGGTGTTCAGGGTTGATGCACCCCGAATAAAATGCCATCCGAATGGGTTTTAGTTTTTTTGTCTTGAAAACAGAAATTACCCTTCAAGTTTCACCCGTATAAAAGTGATATTCTTAGGGACATTATGCATCAATCGAGCATTGTACAATCAAATTTGAACATGTATTTGCAGATTTTTTTATCGAGTTACCGAGAGCTGTTGCGAAACTATTTCGTAATACTACATACAAAACTACGAGCACGAGAAAACTTTCATTGAATCCCTACAGTGACTTAAGTAGTTTCAACTTTCTTTCAAGGTTTCAACGAGTGACCAAACGTGATACCTTTTCGGGGCGAAAGACCATCCGTGATAGCACCGTGATCACCCGCGATACAAATCTACTGTACTGTGACTGCTTGTGATACCCCTGTGACCAATCGTGATAAACCGGGTCTAATTGTGACTGCCTATATAATTTCCCTTGTTGAAATCACCACCCTAAGAGCGTGTTACCTACACCTAACCACCGCTATTTACTTTAGGTCTATTTTTTCACCAAGGGTTGTATCGGATGTCATACGCTCTACGCAGAGTGAAACCCTGGCTCCTGAAAGCTACACAAAGGGAGGCGCACATGAAAACAGACTGTACAGGAGCGAAAATTGTCATCACTCTCCCAATTGATATTTCAAGCATCCAGCATTTGACGTCATTCATAGCCCCCCATATCTAGGTGTCTAACTGAAACCCCCGAAAGCAGGGCAGGGTTTATATGAAAAGCGGAAACAGTACAAGGTGGGAAGTTGAAAATAGCGGTGGTTAGGTGTACCCCATATTTTGGTGGCAGGGACCGGTTACTTGTAAAAGTCGACCCAACCTGACTGGTTGGGTCGACCAGTGGGCGGTTGGGTCCCAGCAGGCAACCTGCATTTGTAAACCCTCGTTTGTGCTAGAAGAGCATCTGGTTGCAAAACATACACGGGTTCTATAACGTCACCACGTTTAGAACGGTCTTGTCACCTACTGTACAAGCACAATGCGGAGAATACGGTTAGGTGAGGTGATGAAGTTGTTAAAATAATAACGAGGAATGACTAGAAACAGGACAGTACAAGGTTTGTATAGGCAAAACCTAACAATTCTGTACCCCATAAGGAGTGCCCCACTACAGCCTACAATATAGTTCTGACACACCTCTATAGGCAAAGTAGGGGACAAGCAAGAGAACAAGGCAAGGTCAAGCTCAGGGTGGATCACAACGTCACCACACATTCTGAGCACAAGTACAAGGCCACAAGGCCAGTTCACATGTAGGATTATAAATCAAGGTGAACAAGCAAGACAGTGATCTCAACCTAGCAAGGGTAAGCATGCAGGTGCAGGTATATATAGATCACATTACAAGCAAATTCAAGAGGTAAGCAAGTGAGGCCAGGTAGGCACAAGACCTAACATAGTACAAAAACGCTGATGATCACAAGGCTGAAGTGTCTTGGTAAAGATATCAGCAGTGTTGGCCCGAGTGGCCATGTAAGCAAGACGAAGCGACCACGCTGATGCAACTCCCGAGCAAGGAAGTAGCGCAGAGCAATGTGTTTCGTTCTGTGCTC